TGGAGCAGAAAAGGCCATCCTTATGGGAATGATAATTACTTGGTCTGAGGTCAAAGAATAGAAACTGGTAGTTGCTGTGTGATGTCCTGTGCCATTATGAGCGCTGTTAAACTGTGTCCATACAGCTGCTGGCAGCTGGGGAGTCATACAGCTGAATAAAACACAAGCTCATCCTACAGGGAGCCATTAGCAGAGGCCTCCGCTTCAACACAATTAGAGAACGACTTGGGACTTACAGTGTTCATTGAAATAATTGAATGTCCTCTAACTACAGTATGTACTTGAAGAGTAATGAATGTTTATGTCCTCATTACAGACTGTTTCATAGGACGCTTGAATCAGTGGCTTATGAAAGAACGATGGTTTAATAGCATCTCAGATTTTAACTTCACAAGCAAAAATAGCTTAGGTTAGATTAATTTGCATGAATCGGTTCAAACCGTGTCAGCTGAATATATCATTATATCATATATTCCATGGTTTATTCTCCATGGAATAATTTACTCTGGTAATTCTTCACTCTTGATCAGGCAAATGTTTGTTCTTCGTGAATGTTATAACCAACATGCTGCTGTCCGTGGTGCTGAAACCAGCTACCCAAATATATACTAAATATAGTAAAAAAAAAAAAATTATATATATATATTGATATATTTTTTTATCATCACTTTCCCTGAATAAGGTGCAATTTCAAAGGTACAATCTATCCTCTTCTTCTTCACAATAAAAGACAATTTGTTTAAAATACAAAAAAATTAAATAAAAATAACACCCAGGAAGTAACATCGTTTGGACCCTTTTGGAAACTGCAAATATTATGATTTTTGGTTACAATAATTTATGAAAATATTTAATGCTTGACAACATTCATTATGAATACTTATATAATGCATTGTACATGAGGTCTTAAAGCAAAGTGTTGCCACGATTTCTTACTTCGGCCAAGCTTAAGAGTTTATTTCCTAGCTTTCCATTAAAGTAATCTGGACTCTGGAATATGTGACACAAAAACAATCATAAAATAACATCAAATGCTCTATTAGAAAATGTTTTACGTGTTCACACTGACAGCGGTCCCTTCTGATCATGAATGGAAGTTGAGCACAAGTGAGAATACAGAGTCTGTGTTGACTTGCGCTTCAATTCCCTCTCCTGCATGAGTCTGATCCACCGCTCAATGTGTCCCCTGCTGGACTTACAAACACCCACCAGGGCACACTCACTGTGCGTGTGTGCTGAATTTCATTTGCCGTGATTTCCCGCCGGCCTGTAATGTGATGGATTTGACATTTTGATTTGCACATTGAAAAACAGAGGACAAACGTATTTTCATTTTGAGCCGTGGAGAGTGGAGAACGGGGCCTGGGATCCGTTCCATGTGTCATCATGTTTGGTCGCTGTCATAATGGGCTTTATTATTTTTAATACGGTGACATCTCCAGTCAATGTCAGTACTACCCGCCTCTTCCTCCACATCACATTACTGTGTTTTCTAACCTCGGAGGTCAACATTTGTGCACAATGAACGCTTTGTCTGTTAATATGCATCATTAGTTTGCAATCTTCTCCAAAGTTAAACTAACAATCACTTTACATGAGCATGTCAAGTTGTTTTTCACGCTGTCTGCTGTGTTTGAGACAACTAACAAATTAAGTCTTAATTACTTTAAATAAGTTCTTGAGTGTCATCCAAACTTTGCAAAGTTCAGTTTTGTGTCCTATAATCATATTTACACTGGCAGCCAAAAGTTTGGAATAATTAAGATTTACATTTTTTTTTTTGCTGCATTTATTTGATCAAAAAATACAGTAAAACCAGTAATATCATGAAATATGAATGCAATTTAAAATAACTGTTTTCTATTTTAATTTCTGTCATGGCAAATCTGAATTATCAGCATCCTTACTCCAGTCTTCAGTGTAACATGATCCTTCCGAAATCATTCTGATTGATGTTTTAGTGCGCAATTATGAATAATGGTTCTTATTATTATCAATGTTGGAAAAAAAACAATCGTGCTGCTTAATATTTTTGTGGAAACTTTGATACATTTTTTTTTCAGGATTCTTTGATGAATATGAAGTTCATTGAACACCAAAATATATTTGAAATATATATTTGTAACATTATGTCATTCTTTACTGTCACTTTCGATCAAATATTCTTGAGGTGCAAATCAGCATATTAGAATGATTTCTTAAGGATCAGCACTGCCATCGCATTACATTTTAAAATATATTCAAATATAAAACAGTAATTTAAAATTTTAATAATAATAATTATATATATATATATATATATATATACACACACACACACACACACACACATATAATATATACATATATATATATATATTTTTTACTGTGTTTAATCAAATAAGCATTGGTGAGCATAAGAGACTTCTTTCCAAAATTATAATTATTCCAAAATTTTGTCTGCCAGTGTATAAACAACCAACTGCTTTCCACAAGGAAAAGTCTCTTCAATAGAGTGGAGGATTAATCCGGGATTTACATGTGTGATTTTAATGCACATCAACATGTGAGATGATGGCACTTGAGGCCCATATCTGAAGGTAAGCTGAAGTTTAGGAGTATAATCCCTTTTGAACCGCTTTTACTGTCCCATCTGTCATCAGTGAGCATTCAGTCGTATCTGGCAAAAGTATTAAATCTAATCCCAGCCAGCTCCAAAACTATCTCCCGGAGTATTGTTGAGGTCCGGCTTGACGGGCCTGAATCATGGTCTCTGGGACTGACAAGGTGTGTGAGTCATGACACGAGTTTGTAGACAGTCTCACTGTGTGGAATGCATAATGATACACCAGATTTCGAAAACAGTACGTTACAGGACGAGTTATAGCACTAAACAGATGCTCCTGACGTCATCCGGAGCTGCAGGTCTATAAGTAGCAGCGGTACGTGACAGCACGGCCTTTTTCTGTTTTTGGGTTTCAGGTGAGCTCTACTTATTCGTCTTTCTGTGGGAAAAAGAATCTTCGCTTCAGCTGTTGTACAAATAACACTAATATGAACGAACACTATCCGCCTCATGCTAAAGATATAACAGTTTTGCCTCCAAATTCAAAAAATGGTTTGTTTTGAGGGATTTAGATGGTCAAATATCATGCCATTGGAAGAATGCACCATTAAAAACAGAAAACAACTAAATTTAAACAATCCTCGCGCCTTTAAACTGTAAACTTATCTTAAAATCCAAGAGGTTTTGGTAGTATTTCTGGTTCGGTTCTCTCTATCCTGTCAGTTCCTTGGCTGATAGCGTTATTGCACATAAGGTACGACATATGTGGCGCGCCGTTACCCCGAAGTGACTATACTTTCTGTTATTTTTAGCTCCCCTGTGCTATTTTTATAGCCAGGGCCACACACGTCTCCTCCTTTCCACTAATGGCCGTTAAAAATACCATTGTTATTTGCCTTTAGGTCTGACAAGTAATTATAGAGCATTTTTCTGCTGCTGTTGAATGAAGGACCTTGAGATTGCGAGGATGTCCACAGGGATGGGGTCCAGAAAAGAGACACGCAGCGTGACACAGGAGTAAGTCGACAAGGTCTCTGAAGCAGTACGAACATATTTCCTCTTTTATTTACATTCCTTTTTCAAATGTTAACATTTTTCGCTAACTCTCATCAAGTTGGCAATTTTCTCTTTTCTCATTAAAATAAGCTTGGCACAAGTAAAACATATGTAGACAAAAGTTTTATTTACACCATACAACATTTTTGATTTTTAAATATTTTATACAGGGCTGCAGATGAGAGAGCTTTACTGAGCTTCCAGGCAGATTCTGCAGTATTAAAGTTTTGAAATATATTATTCATAAAAAAAGTGAGTATTACCTTTATTGCATTTAAAGCAATGAAGAATGTAGCTCGACAAACATTCGTTTTTAAATGAAAGAAAAAAAATCCTCTTTGCCTCTGAATAGTTTTGTCTTTTCATATTATAAAGTATCTGAAGGTAAGCTGAAGTTTAGGAGTATAATCCCTTTTGAACCGCTTTTACTGTCCCATCTGTCATCAGTGAGCATTCAGTCGTATCTGGCAAAAGTATTAAATCTAATCCCAGCCAGCTCCAAAACTATCTCCCGGAGTATTGTTGAGGTCCGGCTTGACGGGCCTGAATCATGGTCTCTGGGACTGACAAGGTGTGTGAGTCATGACACGAGTTTGTAGACAGTCTCACTGTGTGGAATGCATAATGATACACCAGATTTCGAAAACAGTACGTTACAGGACGAGTTATAGCACTAAACAGATGCTCCTGACGTCATCCGGAGCTGCAGGTCTATAAGTAGCAGCGGTACGTGACAGCACGGCCTTTTTCTGTTTTTGGGTTTCAGGTGAGCTCTACTTATTCGTCTTTCTGTGGGAAAAAGAATCTTCGCTTCAGCTGTTGTACAAATAACACTAATATGAACGAACACTATCCGCCTCATGCTAAAGATATAACAGTTTTGCCTCCAAATTCAAAAAATGGTTTGTTTTGAGGGATTTAGATGGTCAAATATCATGCCATTGGAAGAATGCACCATTAAAAACAGAAAACAACTAAATTTAAACAATCCTCGCGCCTTTAAACTGTAAACTTATCTTAAAATCCAAGAGGTTTTGGTAGTATTTCTGGTTCGGTTCTCTCTATCCTGTCAGTTCCTTGGCTGATAGCGTTATTGCACATAAGGTACGACATATGTGGCGCGCCGTTACCCCGAAGTGACTATACTTTCTGTTATTTTTAGCTCCCCTGTGCTATTTTTATAGCCAGGGCCACACACGTCTCCTCCTTTCCACTAATGGCCGTTAAAAATACCATTGTTATTTGCCTTTAGGTCTGACAAGTAATTATAGAGCATTTTTCTGCTGCTGTTGAATGAAGGACCTTGAGATTGCGAGGATGTCCACAGGGATGGGGTCCAGAAAAGAGACACGCAGCGTGACACAGGAGTAAGTCGACAAGGTCTCTGAAGCAGTACGAACATATTTCCTCTTTTATTTACATTCCTTTTTCAAATGTTAACATTTTTCGCTAACTCTCATCAAGTTGGCAATTTTCTCTTTTCTCATTAAAATAAGCTTGGCACAAGTAAAACATATGTAGACAAAAGTTTTATTTACACCATACAACATTTTTGATTTTTAAATATTTTATACAGGGCTGCAGATGAGAGAGCTTTACTGAGCTTCCAGGCAGATTCTGCAGTATTAAAGTTTTGAAATATATTATTCATAAAAAAAGTGAGTATTACCTTTATTGCATTTAAAGCAATGAAGAATGTAGCTCGACAAACATTCGTTTTTAAATGAAAGAAAAAAAATCCTCTTTGCCTCTGAATAGTTTTGTCTTTTCATATTATAAAGTAAAAAGTGTAGTAATGGCCAAACGGACTTGTTATAAACTTTTTAAAAACCTGCGCAAGTATATACATTGTATTCCTGGGCTCGTCTCCCGCCGAACGAAAAACCGAACCCAGCCGCCGCTCGTGGGTGGACATCACGTCGTGTCGTTTTCTCTTTTGAGGTTTCATTTGGAAAGATAACGCTTTTGGAACCGATTATTTTCCAACTGGTTACTTTTGAAACATGATGTTCGATATTGTCTGCCCCCCACTAAATACACGAGTGAGAATACAAAAAAAAGATAACACAGTTGTTGTTTTTTTTTTGTCTTTTTCTAACGTCTTTTTTTCTGTCTGTCCTTCCTTGTTTTAAAATCTTATTGGCACATATTGTCCCTGCTAGACTCCTAGAATCCAGATATGTCTTTCCAAGGCTGCATGAGAAGTCTTCCGTGTTTTTGTTCAGTGCAAAATATGTCCACCTTCTTCCGCGTCCCTGCTAACGCTTCATTATTCCTCAGACTTCTGTCTGAAAGTCTCCCTCCTGGACGTCCAAAGGGAGGCTGACACACTTTTCCCACTCAGCGTTAGTCATCTCCAGAGAGTTCTTTGTGTCTGATTCTAGTACATTCATTGTGGCGTAGTTCTGATATTCACTTGCCAGGTTGAAACTCTCCCAGGGGTTCTTGTTTAGCATTGCCTTGTCCTACGGAAAAGGACGAGAAGCCGCCGTGTTAGAAATACTACATTTCTGCAATATTCTCAATATGGTTTCTCATTATTGTGACTCGTTTTATGATACTGTCAGACACTGGAAGTTTCACATGGACATGAATCATCAAGCTTTAATTCATGTTCTCTCACAGTGGCCCTAAAAATATTTGAACATATGAAATGTATGAAAGTCACCGCATTAGATCAAAAATATCACACCAATCTTGAAATTATATGTCACGTCACTTGACTTGATATTTTGTTAATTAACACAATGACATTCATACATTTGTGTCCCAAAAACATTTTTGGGGCCGCAGATACACACCCAGAGCTCAATAATCAAAGTGTTTGACCTAACAGCATGTTTGGAGTGTTTCCAGATTCAGGAACATCTCAGATTTTTCAAGGGAATAAAAACACAAAATCATTTCTTCCAGCGGTTACTAAGCAACAGGCAGTGAATGGCAAAATTCTGCTACGACTACATGAATATACACCCGACATAAACATGCATTTCTAACACGGAACAATAAGGTTCGATTTTAGCTAATGCATTAGGGTTCTTGAATTAAGAATCAACCATTTTACACCATTTATTAATATACTATTGTTCATTGGCAATTCGTGTTTTTCATGATACAGTAATGCTAAATTATATGACTTGAAATGTAGAAATTAGCATTAGCCTAGATTAATAAATGCAGTAGAGGACTATTTCATTGTTAGTTCATGAATGCCTTAGTTAATGTTACAATATAGAGCCTCATTGTAAAGTGTAAGCCATGCATTTCATATCAGGATCGTATCTGGACTCTTGCATCTGATTGCACTTAGCTGCACAATATGGAAATGCCACTTTTAGAAGCTGCATTAAACAGACATTTCCATCATTTACACTGATGGATAAATCAAAATGCTTTCAGTTATATTGACTGCTTAAAAAGGCATTCGGTCTATTTCCTACTTTAGAAACATTCTCACAGTAACGAATGCAAGTTTACAAGTGAATAAAAAGGAAGAAAAAAGTGCTCTTGCGAATCTACATTGGATTAACAGTCTAAAGTGGAATAAATCATTAAATCAGGTGACCAGATCGCAAGACCACATTAACATTTACACCTGCATCGAACAGAATCCGAATGTATTTTCAGTGATCCGGTCACTGCGTCTGGAGTGCATTGGCTTTTATTGAGGTCGAGAGCATTTCAACTGTGATCCAATCACTGGAAATGCATACTACTGTAATAGCAGGAAATTAATTTTAGGCTATTATACTGAGGATAAGCTAGTTAAAAAACATATCTGAAAATCTCTTCATTGATGAACAGAGTGAACCTCACAGTTCCAGTCAGCTGGACGCAAAATGACACTGAACGTTCCTCTACTGCATGGTGCTGGCTGATGAAATGTGATTGTGTTGCAATTGGCCTGCTCCAATCAAAAATCCCACCAGCCTTACAACAGATAATTGGTGCATCATACTGCGGAAAGCACAGAGAACCTCTCCAATATCTGAAGCAAATCAAGTGTTTTTTTGTCCCATGCATTTGCCAAGCAGTGATTAGCCAATAGAAAAGGAAATAATGAGCATGTTAGCAGCTTACAGCCTTGTGTTTGAATGAATGCATGGGCATGGATCACAATGATGGCTCAGTCGCTCTTGTTCAGTCAAGCTGAGAACCAGAACTTTGCAACAGGAAAAAACCTGGCTACTTTCAAAGAATTTATCACTGTATAAAACCGCCGTGCTCACCCTGCAAATTTGGCTGAATGCTATGACAAGGTTATGAAAAACGGCACTGGCATATATGAAGGGTCAGTGGTAGCACTTGACATTCAATTTCATTTTTTGGTAAAGGGCTGAAATGCTCTGGGGGATACTGCAAGTGACCTTAAAAACGTGAAAATATATAGGCTATTTTTTGATTTTCAGCTTGAAGTCAGGGGATGTAAAAGGATAAAATGGGAATATGTGGTGGCTGACAGCATTGCTTTTACACTAAACCACACAACGCTTCATAAATCGCAGTTGTGTCAGGACATGCTTCTCCAATAAGCTTAAGTGCTACACAAAGTAGTAGTAAATTAAAGGGGCGAAACACAAATGCAACAAATGGCCCTGACACATGCACTTCGCCAAGTAAAGGTTTCGCTCACCTCGAAGTCTAGATCCTGGTACCTCGACTTTCTTCTCTGTAGAACCAAGACAGAAAGACAAAAAATTATGTAGTTAGATATTACAAAACCTAGAGAAATAATCTGCTGAAATCTGGTCCCATCTCTAAAACATATATGAGCAAGTATGTTCCTTGCGCATCAGAGCTAGGCTTGTATGCCTTGAGGCTTTTTGCAGAAAATGAATCAGGTTCAAATGTATTTTCCCCTCAAGGCAGCCGGTCGATACCAGTCTACAAGATGTATGCAAACGCAGGCACAAATGCTTGATCGGTTCAGTCTCGTTGGACGTATTTAACACAAAAGAGGATGTTGTCTGACTCTGAACAACAGATATGGACAAAGAAAAGCATTTTTTAAAACATATTCTGCTTTCTTCTACAAAGTCTGTCATACAGATTTGGAACGACATATGGGTGAGTAAATGATGACAATTTTCATTTTTGGAGTGAACTATCCATTTAAATTTGGCATGAAATTAAGGTTTCTAAATGATCTTACTGAAAAATCATCCATGCATGTTTCTTTTTGACAATTTTTTTTTTAATACTGTAATTTTTAAACAAAATGTCATCACTCAATCTTCCGGTAAAAACACAGACTTTTGTCTTGTGATGTAAGCCAGACTTCTCCAATCATTTAGTCCACTTAAACCCCCGCCTAATCGATTACAAGCTTGCATTTAGATCTGCCTCCATTCAATCAACAACCCATGTATACAGTAGAACTATCTGTTGGTTGTTGACTATGTACGTCAAAATATGGAAGGTATGTCGCTACTGTCAATTCTTTACAAATTTAACTTCAACATCTTTAAGTTAAACATCTCAAAACTTTTTTTTTTTTTTTTTTTTTTTTGCGCCAGTCATCTTTGGCTTAATTTGGAGGTTTAAGACATTAGGGCACAAGATTCCTTTCAAACTGACCATGTTGGCAAAACTAAAAATGCACTACATTATGAATTGCACTAAATCGGTGTGCATCGAGTAAAATCACACTTGTGTATCTAGATGCATATGTGTTCATGTACATGTGTGGAGTTTACTTCTGTCTAACTGTCTACACCCAAGGCCAGACTCAAACTCGCACCTCTAAAGAGCTCATCGATATAGTTGAACCGGTTTCACTACGTGACAGTCCTCCGCTCTCCTCCATTTCTGCCAGGAAGTTCTTCACAGCCGTGCGTGGCTCGAAGGGCAGATTCTGCATGTGTTCGGCCTGGACGGGGTACTGCTGTTCCATTCCCATGTGCTCCATCCCCGAGGGCCCGAGGTTAAACTCAGCGCCCATCTTGTAATGCATCAACCTGTCGTGCGACAGAGAGTCCATGGTCATGCTCATCTTGCTGTCCTCCTTCAGCAGGGTGGGAATGCAGCTAGACCCAGCCGCCGACACCGCCGCGGAACTGCGAGGCAGGACGATGTAGTCCGTTTCCATCTGCCCCGGCTGAGGGTGGCCACTCAGGTCGTGGGCGCTCAGCTCCTGCTCGCTCTGCCTGGTGGCGTCATCTGTACACAGGTATACGGTTCGCCGCATGTCTGCCGTGCTGTCCAAACACTGCTCTCCCAGATCGCCCATGCCCATGGACATGTGAAGTCCAGAGGGCTGCTGGATGATCACTTTAGACATGATGTTGCCAGGCAACGTGGAGTAATTGAGCCCCTCGGGACCTTTCTCTTCCTCCTCATCATTGAGAGAGATGCGGGAGAGGGTGCCGGTGATGGTGGCCGCTCGACAGGAGCCCATGTCTTTGTGGAGGGCTGCAGGTAGGAAGGAACATCATTAGTGAAAGTGTGTGACGCAAGAATGTAAGCTATGCTTTAAATGTTGATTTAGAACTGAAAATAAACTGTTTAAAAGCAACAAGCAATGCAGCCAATCAGACGTTGAACATTTGAACACACAGCTGAAGTGTTAATACTAACATATCCAACAATAACGGCACTAGTGAAAGATGATGTTTAGCCTACACCCCAAAAACAAGTGATCATAACATATAAAGCTACAATTCTAGTGGCAAACATCATGACAACGACAGACTCAAGCAGATTCAAAAGAGAATAATTGTTCATCCCGGTTGAAGGACATGTCATGTTGTGGGCCGACTTGTTTAGTCAGCAAGAACCTATAATTCAGTCATCTTTTAAAATAGACCAAAATTATGCCTCTTGTATAAATGTGTTTTGCCCTAAACCAAACCAACTTCGTAGGTTTTGTAAAAAATGTAGAACTGAAGATGAACAGGTTAACTATCAAGACTTGGTTGACCAGTTCAGTGCTTTTTGAACAACTTGAGTTTTGATCTAGTCTGAGTATGTCACTTTTCTTGGTTTTGTTAAAAACGGAGGGTTGAAGATAAACAGGTTCACCCAAGAGATGCTGTCCAAACAACTTCATCACCATGTTCAACAGCATGGTTGTACTAGTCCATCAGCACTAACCATCCAAACCAATCTTTTCACCAAAGACTATCTATACACAAGCCATACACCACCTTACAATATCTGCTGTTATAGAAACATGTCCTTATTTAGACTGGATTCATTCTGTTCACCTGAAAGAGCCACACACATCTCTAGATGCAATGACAGAAGATGCATCAGCACTGTGAGAACAGCCTGTCCTCTGCAGCAGAGCTCTATCTCCAAGAATCCATAAGGGAATTACTGCCACTGTTCATAACACAACAACAAGGAGACCAGAGGACAACAACGCCTGGTTAAAAATCCTCCAGATCTGATGGTAGTCCAAACTAATGCATCACACAACATGGCGTCTGAAGAGCACAGCATAATACTGATAGAAGAATACAGAAAAGGACTTCAGGCTCATGACAAGGACTTTCAGGGTGAATCTCATGAAATCTGTCAAGAACCTGGTCATATTACACCCCAAAAAAAAGAATTTTAGGAGCATTGCAATTGATGTACTTAAGAACATTTGCCTCCCAACTCTCATTTTTATAATGCAAAAAAAATAATAAAATAAAATAAATAAATAAATAAATATCCCAGAAATAAAAACATTTAGGATTTAAGTGAATATGTAAATGTGTTACACTGTCTTTATTTATTTATTTATTTTACTATTGATTTTTATAAAAATGTAAACATTTTAAAATCTAAAAAAAAAAAAAAAAAACGTAATCGTCCTTAAAATAATTAATTTAATAGTTCTTTTTTTCTTTTTGTAAGTTAAAGTAAACCTTGGATTAAAGTTTTATTATGCTTTCCTAATGAAGGACACACAATGTCACACAATATCACTCTCTGAGCTGATCTTAATCCAGTTTTAATGAAGAACACTAGAGTCAGGGTGCTGTTATTACACTCATTTTCAAAACAAAAACAAAAGGGTTAGCAAATTGTGTTACTATAGCTGCATTTCAGGGCTACAGCGTAGGCTAATTATCTGATTTACTATGCCCTTTTTAGTCATCTAGTTTTTAGAGACTTTAAATAACGTGCCGTAAGCGAAGATACACAAAAAACATTCAAACAACTGTCATGACATCTCATTATGCAGTTAAAGTAATTTAGCAGCTCATATCAATGTCTAAATGAACTCTGGCTGCGATAAGTAACACAAAATTTTATCAGTTGCTTGGTTTCTATTTATGTGGCGTCACACTGTGTAGACCTACCCACAGTGAAATCTCATTGGTCTAAATCCCACACATAACTAGCTAATAGACTGTGTTGCATCATGCAACATTTTCACCTTCAGACAGACAAACAAATCCAGTTAGAGCTTTCAGGAAATGTGAGAAGAGCCACCATGCTGTCTAGGGGCATAACGATGCTACATCCAAACTGAAAAATGGCTGTAATGAAGACTTCATGCTGTGTTTAACTTTGTTGGATGCATGTCAGAAGAATTACATTTTTTTAACAACAATCTTTCATTATAACAATACAACAATTCTGTCTAGATCTTGAAACAAAAATCTTGTTTTGAACCAATTTCAAGGGACTAAAAAGCTTCATTGTTCTTCACCAACCCTTTACTTAGGGGAGACAATTAAACAGTAAACTCATGGATTCCGTGGTTTATTCCATACAGCAGCTAGATAAAGAGGAACTAAAGATAAAAGAGAATTACAATGCGGAATAAAATAATTATGACTAAAACTGATTCTGATATGTACAATATCAATATATGGACAGTTTCTAAAACATAAACCTTTTTTTGTACTTCAGAGACACACAAGTTTTACTTCTTGAATATTTAAAGACTGGTCAGAACTGATATTGTCAGTTAATTGTGCTTAATAAATTTAACAGCATTAAAAAATATTTTAATTAGGTTGATATATTATTAATACAATGAAAGTAATAGTCTATGAATTTAATATTCTGTGAACGTAAAAAGAGGGGATTCAACACTGATATTGTATGTATCAGTATCTATCCAAATGTAACAAAATCCTACACTTTAATATTGAATACTGTCCTGTTGGATGATTAGCCCGGTGCCACCGGGACTCCATAATTCTAATGTGCAACCCAAATGTTTATTCTCTTGGGCCGTTTTGGCCCAGGAGAGGAGAAGTAATTAGGAAACACATTAATAGTGCACCATCTGTTTCTTACCTGATCGACATGCGATGTCCACGTCTTTCTCAAAATCCGTCTGTGGGGAAAAAAACAAAGTGAAATTTAGACATGCAAGAGGAGTTTGATTTAGACAGAACTACAACATAAAAGCTGAAGCTTTATTTTCACGTTGACAGTTGCAGACACACACACACACACAAAAGCATTTTCCTGTCTAACTGACTATGTAAAATCAGAATAATACATCAATTATATAATACAGTCTAACATATCTATGCCGTCATGGGATTCTTCTCAAATTGTATGATTTTGCTAGCTTGTGTCTGCAGTATAACCACATCCCACAGAGAAAATAGTAATTTGTTGAAAGCACTTATAAATAGAATTGGATTAATCAGGTATCACAATAGAGGCGGCGATAGAGGAGCCATCAACAGCAGCGAAATGAGCGAATCAAAGACAATCTGCACAAACGGAGGCCTCATTATAGTGAAATGCTTCTAGTAAAGAAACTTTAAATCAAAACATAAATGAGAACTGTGATCATTATGTGCCAGTGGTTCTGCGCGGGTCACACATCTCCGGAACCATTTTAACAGCAATTACTCCCTCAAGCCAGTGAAGGATGAGAAAGACAGATGTGAAATATGACAAATGGGTCCCATCTGAGACAGGTGAAAGCCAAAGGATATGGATAAAAGATTTGCTAAAAGATTAAGCAAAGACAATTCTACATATCCTGTCATAAGTGTTTAAGCAATAACACTGTATAACAAAGACTCGTACTAGGAAAAAAGCACTGCATTAAAGTCCATCAAGAGGACTTTGAGAGGTCACAGCACCCGCTTTTGATAGCACAGATGCCGGATGCAAATGATTTCACAGCTAATTTATAAGTCAGCATATTCCAGCTCGTGAATGTACAGTGTTTCTTACAATGAAGTCCCAGGAGGCGAGTGTCTTACCATGATCTGTGCATGCCCGTTGGGAAATGTACCAGTTGCATCTGCATTGATGGGGTCTTGACAGTTTCTCAGGCGACATCTGAAGGCATCTTGAACCTATGAACCATCATTTTAGTCACTCAGCAAAGCAAAAGTATATGCTATTGTACAAAACATTTCAGTAGAGCACATTGCTTCAGGATTTGAAAGTTTGGGGTCGGAAAGAAATCTCAGCGAGACTGGATTTGTGAAATATTTTTAGAATTTAAAATGACTGTTTTGTATTTTAATATATTTTTAAATGCATGTTATTTTTGTGATGGCAAAGCTGAATATTCAGCAGCCATTACTCCAGTCGTCAGTGTCACATGATCCTTCAGAAATCAATCTAATATGTTGATTTGCTGCTTAAGAAGCAATTCTTATTACTGTCAATGTTGAAAACAGTTGAGCTGCTTAATATTTTAGTGAAAACTGTGCACACATTTTTTTTAGGATTCTTTGATGAACAGCATTTATTTGAAACAGAAATATTTTGTAACCTTATACAATGTCTCTACTGTCACTTTTGATCCATTTAATGCGTCTTTGCTGAATCAACTATTCTTCTTATAACTTATAACTTCTTATCAAAAAAAGTGTATAAAAATTCATAAGCCTGCCAAATAAAATATAGCAACAAATTCCTTTTATCCTTCTTTTTTATGTTCACTGAAATTACCAGATTGTTTCATGTAGGGGGAAAAAGAAGGACATCCTACTATTTAAATGAAACATTCGCAACCCACTTCTGTGAAACCAGATGTTAAACGAGGTAAAAACATGTAGGGATTTGGTTTTAATTGGTCCTGGAAAGTGGCTGTTACATACCAGAATGGGTACCAGTGGATGTGATCTCTAAATGACAGATTAAAAAAATAATAATAATAACAGGGCTTGGTTATGTCAGTCCAACAGGAAAGTTATTTAAGAGGAAGAGGGATCATCAGAGATCTGGCAGATTTTAAGGGTGAGTTTGGCTTGTTTGGCTCTTCTGAATGTGGTTTTCTTTAAATGTATAGTCAAAAATATCTTCTTTTGTGTTTCACAGAAGCAAGAAAGTCATCCAGGTTTGGAACAACATGATGGTGAGTAAATGATAACAGAATATTAATATTTATCCCTTAAATTAAGACTGGACAAGGAGTAAAATAAACTGGGCATTTTAATAAATTAAAGACAGTCTGCTGAAATGCTGAAGGAAAAGAGAAGAAAAGTAAGGGATTATAGTGGATCCAGCCCTACCTCTCTTCTGAGGATACAGTGGACCATGACTATGACAAAGCCTTGCAGGGAGTCAAAGACCGCAAAGAGGATCTGGAATAGAATTGAGCGTTTGTCCGTCATGGCCAGCACCGCAGACATCCAGGTGAGAGCTAATAGAGGGAGAACGACACAGGAACTCCATAGGGAGGCCCTGAGACAGAGAGAGAGAGAGAGACAGTGGACTGAACAACAAAAAAAGATGGATTTTTGGCCGTGGTCCCAAAAGTATTTTTACCCATTAATTTTCTCCAAAGGCATTAAAAAAAACTTTAATGAGAAGCTCTAAGCCTTGAACAAACCATCAAGCTCTGAGATTAATCATAACATTACAGTCTTTGAGGAATATAATTCAGCGATCCAGTATCTAAGCTATTTTATTAATGAAAGTCACGGGGTAGCATTGACAATAGGTTTCTATACTCCTGAATATTTCTGTGCGCGCAGCGCGATCTCCGATCTCTCTCTATCTCTCTGTGCGAGTGATGTGTGTGTTTGTGTGCATCGATGAAAGCAACACATTAATATAGAATGATGATTAAACTGACTTGGAACTACCTGTGCATTAAACGGTTTTTAATGCCAGCCAATCAGAATCAAGTATTCAGACAGACCATGGTATAAAATACAATATGCTTCTTTATTATTATTATTATTATTATTATTACTGCTACATTTTATTGCATAAATATACTAGTCAATGACTACAGATATAAAATACAACATTTATTATTATTGTTGTTGTAATTATTACTACTACTACTATTTTATTGCAATAATAAAATAAATAAAATAATCAAATATGCTAGTCATTGACTACAAGTATAAAATTATTATTAATTTTATGATATTTTATTGCAATAATTAATCATATATATATTCATATATCATTATAATCATAATAAAATAAAATAAAATATTTAACTATTATTTGAATATTTTACATACTAGTTTGAGATTGTAGGGAGGCTCCAATGTTTTAATAAAAATTATGTTAAAATCAAACGGACTTGTGGCTTCTGACATTGCTTAACTTCAGATCTCACGGTAGGTCTGTCTAGAAAGGTTTATATGGCATTGTAAAATATAGCTTTCTCTATAGAGAAAATGATGGGGATTTTTACTTTACAGAAGACTACTGTTGAGCTCTAAAGAACACATATGATGAAGAGGAGATAGGGGTACTCTGGTTGCCAGTTTCATTCCAGATGAAAGCATGCACATGCCCAAATTGTCCTAAATTGCCATCAGCACATAAATGAGTCCAGGAGCACACAACAACCAATACATTGTTCCAATAGAGTGTGTCGACATATTACAGACAAAGAAGAAGAGCCAGCTGTTAATTTAACACCTCCACAAATCTCCTTCCCCGAGGCAAGGGGAAGGACACACACGTATAAAGTCACACGCACACTCTTGCATGCAGCTTAATCAGCATAATCGATCTGCTGAGGCATCGGTGGGCACTTACATGGCGTTGCTGGCCGCTGTTGCTGATAAAGCAGTAGTTGAGACGACACCACATTTGGCACATTTTAAAGTTAATCCTGTATGGGGCTCGCTCATCTGCCTGCAGAACAGCCAAATAACCAGACAACACAAAGGGAATGTATTTACATGGTGGTCTGATTGTACCAAAGCAGAGGTGGTGGATGTTTCACTAGGAGATACAGCCCTTTGTGGACTTCACCAAAGAAGAAGTGTGTAATTTCTGCACCTTTAGTATCACCAGAATTGTAATCTGTTAGTTTGAGCAACTGGACTGGGATGGAAATAACTCTATTGGCTCAACTAACGTAAATTTGGGATGAGGCTTCCTGTTTCTGCAGTTTTGTCATACGCTGACACTTTAGCTCTGTTCCCAAACCTAATGAGGTCTGCAGTCTTCTGTCAACATAGGCAACTATTTTTTAAAGTTTACACTCTTAAAAATAAAGGTGCTTCACGATGCCATAGAAGAACCTTTTTGTCTAAATGGTTCCATAAAGAACCTTTAACATCTGAAGAACCTTTCTGTTTCACAAAAGGTTCTTTGTGGCGAAATAAGGTTCTTCAGATTACAAAAAGGTAAGAAAGAGATGGTTCTTTAAAGAACCTTTGACTGAATGGTTCTTTGTGGAACCAAAAATGGTTCTTCTATGGCATCGCTTAAAGAACCCTTTGAAGCACCTTTATTTTTAAGAGTGTAGCTTGAAGCTCACAGTTGATTCCAATACAGTTTGGTGTTAGCATGTTGCCTTGAAAACAACAAAATACTCTAATAAGCATACAACATATGTAGCACACACAAATATTGGGCAAAGGAGTAGTTTTATTAGGTTATGGTGAATAGGTTTTTATTAGCAAAACATCTTGAATTTGTGTGTGATAAAATACATCACAGTTCAAATGTTTGGGATCAGTAAGGTTTTTAAATTTTTTGAAAGAAGTCTCTTATGCTCACCAAGGCTGAATTTGTGTGATCAAAAAAGTAAAAGCAGCAGTAATGTGAAATATTATTCACTGTAATATATAAGAAAAAAACAATTTTAATATATTTTAAAATTGAATTTATTATAGGAATGGGAAATTAGAATTTTCAGCGGCTCAAGAAACATTTCTTATTGCAGCTGATAACAGGTGTGCGGCTGAATGTTTTTGCAGAAACTGTTTTTTTTTTCAGGATTCTTTGATTAATAGAAAGTACAAAAGAACAGCATTTATTTGAAAAAAATGTTTTTTTATGTATTTACTCACTTTTGTTATATTTAATGCATCCTTGCTGAATAAAAGTATTAAAAATCTTACTGATCCCAAACTTTTGAACCGTAGTGTAGGTGTGCTTCTTCATCTCTTCGCCTTAGCAATCTTGCTAACTGACAGGATGACAGAAAGCAGCAACAAGTTATTGCAAGCTGTCCAAATTGTCAACAAGACACATTACAATATTATTTGCTAAAAGACATTTTAGAATGAAAATATCAGCCAACTAACTTCCCATTTCTAAGAAACAGGTTTCCTTTTTGACAACAAATGATACCAGAGGCAGTAAATAACATAACTAGTAGAACATATTTACATTTTTTGTAAATTGTCAGGACACCGGAGCATCTTGTGAACCCAAGACATAGATTTTGGAACAGAATTTATGAGTTTGATCTTTTTCATGTATGTTTGTATGATGTAGCTAACTGACACTTACCCTGCTCTGTGTTTTAGTTTCTTATCCAGGATCCCATCTCTCGAAACCAGTTTATTAAACACTAGAATACCAATCACCATGTTAACCTGTAACCACACATACAGTAACACCGTCAGGGCCTGATATCATCAAACTGCAGTATATTAACAATACGGCTCAAGCACTGTCTTTAGTAATGACTAAATGTTAAAGCTTTCTTTGAACATAAAAAAATGAAAGTGCTTTCCAATGCACTTGAGAATTTTACAAGCTAGACTTTAAAAATGCAACAATATAGATATAAATCTACTGTTTTGTATTGTGTAGATGCATGGTAGTGTGAATCTGTGCCACTATTACATCTTGATTCAGCATAGAAACAAACTGTTTAATGGTGCATATAAGTGACTGGGGTCACAATCTTCAAACCGTACTACGATGGAGCGAGGCAATTTTCTATTTCAATGTTGGCACGGCAGACTAGTCCAGTAAATGACATAAAACATTATAAAGGCACTGGTGTAGTTAAGACTGGTAAATGACTGCAAATAAACAAAGTGTAAAATTACCAGCACCACTGCAGCAGCAGGTCCCACAAATGCATAGAGAAGACCACCTTCCAGAGATAGCCAACAGCTGCAAACACAAAAAACCCAAATATCAGCAAATCTTGCATAAAGTTTAACATCCGGCATCAACTTAATTGGGCATGGCAGTACACAGTCGTATCGTCCTTGAGTGTCTGGGGATCTGGAGCCATATGTCATGGTTCCACATGAGAGACTTTTAGTATGGAACAAGAACTCTAAAGAGATCTTAAAACACTGTTTATATCCAGGTATTCTCGGGAGAACTAGGTGGGACTGTTGCAATCTCATGGCTCTGACTCATTACTTCATACTACTGTTTTAATTGGAAAGATATACATGGGCTATGTGCGGGGTCTTTTACGTTTTCTGGGTAAACATGAAGAACAAATAAGAAAAAAAAGGTTGTCTTACTACTGAGGTGTCCCGTATCCTTTTGCTTTTGTGAATCCCATTGAGATAGCGACCACTAAAGCAGGCAATCCTTCAAAAGAGACATAGGAATGATTAAAGGCCACATACTGGGTAATCCTTCAGGGCTGGAGACATTCACAGCACATGTACAGTAGCTCCAGTAGGAGGTAAAGAATGAAAAGAAACTAATACGAGTGGTGCTTGTCCATGCAAAACCAGCTGCTATGATGCTAAAGGATATAAAGGATATTTTTGGCTGTTTTATTCCTTTGAAAAGTGATAATATATGCATATAATTTTTCTATAATAAAATTGTATAAAATATAAATTGTATTGTATATAATAAAATTGCATATATATTACTTTCACTTTGAAATAGCGGCAATTCGGCATAAAGCAATTGTTCGTTTTTAGTTTGTTTGAATTTTCCCTCTTTTCCCGTCACTTTTAAATAGCTTGAAAGCGCCGTGTGCATTTGACATTCACTTTTGAATTAGCGGCAGTTAGGCGTCAATTGCTTGAATGCAACAACAAAATACAACGTCTTTAGTTTTAATCCAAATGATGCGTGCTAAGTGAGTGAACATCAATAAAGATCACACAACAGAAGTGCGTGCTCTCTCTCTCTCTCCCTCCCTCCCTACCATTAAGTAACTTGTGCATTGTTTTACTTTTTGACATATCCGACCGAACTACAAACTTTCCAGTGATTCAGCGTGATTTGCTTACCAGCTGGCGCAAATCAGCTATACAGGCATTAATACTGAATGTTTTATATTCATTACATACATATACTTCGTAGACATCTTTAATCTCTAATAACTCCAATTCTGCTGTCTGTTTTCGATGTTTTTTGTCTGAATATGGTACTTATCACATGCTGTGCGGTATCGGCGTTGGTATCGGGAAAAAAAAAACATATTATTTTAAGTATTTTAAATAAAATTTATTTTTGGAAAAAAATAACTAAAATAAGTAGTTTTAAATGCTACAGGTTAATGTAGCCATCACAATATTAGAAGTGTACAGCATGAAAAGTTGATTTAAAAAAAAAATATATTTTTATTTGTTAAAGATTACATTTATCAGTGTTGTGAAGACTGACATATACAATTCAGTTAAAAACAATCACTAATACTGGCTGATAGCCAATATGGTACCAATATATAATTATATCATGATCTCTAATCATAAACACATTTGCATATTAATTAGTTTTATTAATTAACTGTGAGTATGAGCAACAGTAAATGTTGCTTGCCTTAACAAACACCACTGCAGGTCTTCAGAAGCACATCAGGTTTTCAAGAAACGATACAACTTCTAAATTGCTTGTGACATGAGAGCAGGTAAACAATCTAATTAGAATCCCTGGAGTTTTACACTAAACCCAGCATGTGAAATGCAATTAGCACAACTGCTTTTGAATGGAGAGGCTGAAACGATCAAACAGGTCTTGAGCTGAAGTATATCATATCTGCTATCTTTCTAATCCTCACTCTCTATTTCTCCATCTCTCATCTTTGCTGGTCTCAAGCAGGACTGCCATTATGAAAGGGCTCTTTCTGCTCCTGCCACTGTCCCGTGATCTGAATATTAACACCGTCCCTCTCTCGCTGGTGGCTAAATTTATTGATGCAATCAGCTTGTCTGAAGAGCCAGTGAGGGCTCTTGTGGTGCCCCCCTCCCCTTGCTGAGTCTAAATGAAGCTCCGCCCCTAGCCACCAAGCAGTTTCATCCTCAACCAATTGGAAAGCACACTGCAGTGCACACAGCACCACTGTTTGTACCACAAAGTTAACATTAGTCTACGGATGGACGAAAAAAGACGGAGTATCTGAGAAGGATTAATGAATTTGACCTGGAAACTGTCCATGATGATATGGTTGTTCCATCACAGATACAAATTATACCTGTGGATTTATAGTTCAGTTGAACAAACACAGCATAGTCTGCCAGATAGCGAGAACGACGTGCCACTTGTGTTCCTATGACCTGAATAGGGGTCATGCAATTAAGGAGACCAGCTGTTGGTTTTTTGATCCTTAAAAGATGTTTCATATTAGTACTTCTACACTGAGACACTATGTATCTAACAAAAAGAGAAAACACTCAAAGGAGATTAAATACTTTTCACTTGAAAAGTTTTTATCAGACCACTAAATTAATAAAAAATATTACTGTACAGTTGTTTACAATAAAACATTCAAAGTAAAAACATCTGGGGTAAAGATTTTTTTTTTTTTTAAAGTCTCAGTTGTGCTGCTTAATATTTTTGGTGAAACTGTGAATTGTTTTTTCAAGTTCAAAAGAACAGCATTTCCCTTTCAGTCGGTCACTCTCGAAGTCACGTCGGATGACCGAAGAATTGGGATCTTATACTTAATATATACTTTTTTTTTAAACTTTTTTATTATATATATTTTTTTATTGTATATAATTTTTGTGTTGTGTCATGCTAGAGGTAGACATTAACGGAGGTATAATGATCTGGAAGGTTAGCAACCGTTGTTATGGCAATGGAGTCATGGACTGATACAAAAGCAGGAGCAACAAGTTCATTTGATAGCAGAGGTCACTTATGAATTCCACCACCATTAAGCTCTGATATACTGAACACAAACCACTTATGATCGGCACATAACCATATAGATCTAAAATTTGAGTCTTGTTAAAAACAACCACTGTACAACTGATGCGAACAAGAAACATTTCACAGATACCAATAATTTAATTAATCTACCATCAGTGTTTATCAGAATAGCCAAACTAATAAACGGTTCACATATCTTTGTCTATCTTCTTCTGTCTTGTCTTTTTGCTCTGCACAAAGCAAAACACTGCAATGATGGAAAGAGAGAGCCTTGTTTGTTGCTAGGTAACTGGAGGGATGAGTGTTAGCTCTTCTGTAATCAATTTGATGTGTGCATAAAGTGGTCCTGTATAAGAAACCCTGGGGAGGTATGGAACATACGAAATTATATTTAAAAATTACCCACTCACATCGTCCACATTTGAGAAGTAAATACCGTCTGCATGATGATGATCGAGCAGTAAAAATGTACATTAGTGAAGAAATAGAGACTGAGAGAAAGAAAGAGGGAGAGATGTAAAGATACTGTAAGTGTAATGGAGATCCAAGCACTCACCCCATCCCAGGCAGAGGAAGCGTTTCCGGATGAGCCTGGTCCGAACTTTCCCTGTCACAGCCATATAGGACTGCCAAGCTTCTGTCAAAACCCAGCAGAAGGACGCCAGGAAAAAGAAGTGCAGAAATGCAGTTGTCATCGTGCATATACCCTGTCCATTTAACAGAGAGAAAGAGAAAAAGAAAAGGAACTGATAAAACACTTTGAAACATTCTAACAAGTCTAAATGAAACATTTAAAACAAGTCTAAATGAGGGTTTTTTGGACTGTCAGTGGAATATCACATTGACTGAGGCAAAGTTTGGATGAAAAGCACTTATATTCACTCATTAAAATCACAAGAAAGAAATCTAAAACTCACTGAAACCACCATGATTGAAAACACTGAGGTACAAAATAATGGATCCCTCATTTCATCTACTCCCTTTGATTTTCATACAAGGTGTCATGAAAAGTTTGTGACTGAAAAACAACAAAGCTGCAGACAGATAACACTGACTTGTCTAGACCAGTGTTTCCCAACCGGGGTGCCGTCTGTCGAGTGATGGACAAAATGTTTTAATAATATTAAAAATATCTATATGACATTATATTCTGCAGTTCTTCCCTGTTGTACCGAATATATATACTTTTCAAATCATCATATCGAAGTTAGAAATTCAAATATTGTGACAAAATTAATTTTGTAGGGTGCCACAAGTTTGTTACAATTTCCAAAGGGTGCCGCGACTAAAAAAAGGTTGGGAAACACTGGTCTAGACCATCATTTAGGGCTGGGCGCTTTGATGGTATGTACTGTGTTGTAATCAACACAAACTCACCTGAAAAACACCTGAAAAAACTAGAGGTGCGTAGGAAAAAAGGTCCAACAAAACTGTCAAGTCCAAAATATAAAGATGCAACCCCGCACACTAGTAGTTCTTGCTAAATATTGAAGTTTATTAACAAAAGCAACGTTTCGGTCCACTGACCTTCATCAGGCATATACAGTACATACTATTAAAGTCAAAACATTTTTAAATACACTCCAAACCAATGAGTGCCATCGACATTACATGTGGACCAATCACCAACTCATACATCATAAATAACAAGGGCTCCAATAAAAAACGCTTTACAACATTACAAACAGATGATATTACACCATTTAAACGCCAAGTTAATCGTGTTTGTAAAGTCACAATATCAGACAATTCAAATCTTGACAGAGTTACAATATCATCCCATCTTGATCAAACAGACACTTAGATGTACAACAAGAACACTTTACAACATTACATTAAATAATGCTTCATCATTTAACCCCAAGGGTGATAAAGTTTGCAGTCACAATCCAAAACAACTCGTGTCTTAATAAAAGGGTATCAATGTCACCACCTCTTGGTGGAACAGACACCTTTTCAATCTCCAAGAAACGTAGGGAGGACACATCATGATTAAAAGAGAGGAAATGCACAGCAACTGGGTAAGTAGTATCTTTTCTCCTAATGGAGCTCTTATGCTCACTGATCCTTTGTTTCAATTGACGAGATGTTTTTTCCCACATAACACAGACCACCACATGGACATCGAATAAGGTACACAACATGGGTAGAAGCACACGTAATAACACAGTTAATTTTATATTTTCGACATATTCTTGGACCTGTACTGTGTTGTAGAAATGTGGTCTTGTGGGTATGGTTTGGATTAAAAAATTTGACTTCATTTAGTTCTAAATATAAACAGAAAATAATGGGATATTAAGATATTAAGATATTTTTGGAAAAAAAAAATGTGACCCTGGACCACAAAACCAGTCATAAGGGTCAATTTTTTTTGGGTTAGGTTTCACTAAATAAGCTTTCCATTGATGTATGGTTTGTTATGATAGGACAATATTTGGCCGAGATACAACTATTTGAAAATCTGGAATCTGAGGGTGCAAAAAAAAAAAAAAATTGAAATAATCGTCTATAAAGTTGTCCAAATGAAGTCCTTAGCAATGCATATTACTAATAATAGTACATTTTGATATATTTACGGTAGGAAATTTACAAAATATCTTTTTGGCATAAAAGAAAAATCGATAATTTTGACCCATACAATGCATTTTTGGCTATTGCTACAAATATACTTGTGCTACTTAAGACTGGTTTTGTGCTCCAGGGTCACAAATACTTTTATTTAGCAAGAATGCATTAAATTGATCAAAAGTGACAGTAAAGACTTTTCAAGTGAAATATATATTTCAAATAAGTGTTGTTGATTTGAACTTTCTATTCATCAAAGATTCCTGAAAAACAGTATCATGGTTTTCACAAAAAATATTAAGCATTATAACTGTTTTCAACATTGATAATGATAAGAAATGTTTCTTGAGCAGCAAATCAGGTTTTTATTATGATTTCTGAAGGATCATGTGACACTGAAGACTGGAGTAACCACTGCTGCAAATTCAGCTTTGCCATCACAGGAATAAATCACATTTTAAAACATTAAAATAGAAAACAGTTACTTTAATTTGTAATATTTCACAATATAACTGTTTTTGCTGTATTTTCTAGCCAAAAGTTTTCAATGGTAATCTATCTATCTATCTATCTATCTATCTATATCAATTTATTCATACTGTGATATGTGTTATACAACCCACCCCGACCAACATCTCATGCTTCTAAATCCAAATCTAGGAAATGTCGCTGCAATTAGAACATATGTGCTCCGGACATTCTCAACAATTTGTCAACAACAGTGAGCAGTCAGAGAAATGCCTTCAGCACCAAAACCACAAAATATTACCATCTTTCTCACCAAATGAGTATCTTCCTCACTGAATTTGGCAGTCAATGTGTTCCATGCAAATCCTTTAAAACTGGGATGATCAGCATGTGACAAAAACACCTCTCTTTTAAAACCGGGGTTCCCACCACATTTGACAAATGAATGTTTCATGACACTTGTCACATTTCCATATTTTAGAGAAGAGCATAACATTTATCAACTCACTTTAGAAATTTTAGAAATCTTACTTTGTTAAAACACATTAAGGGTGGTGAACTTGGAGACATATCCACCCACCGGCTAGCCGCCGACAAGTGAATCTGACAGAGGGAGAACCTGGATGCTCATGGCAGAGAAAGAGTTGGAAGCATAGCTGACATGAGCCAGAGACTAGCTGGACGGGACATAATGAAGTCCCTGCTTCCACCTGCTCCCAGTCCACCTGATGCGGCCAGGACGAATGCTGTGAAAATGGATCAGCTGGCAGCATGCGATGGGACACCTGATGCTGATGAGCTCTCTCACGCTGCCATAAAACCACAATTCCTCAGTAAAGCAGCTTTCATAAGCTCATACATACAACGTCTGAGAGATTCAGTCTGAAGTTCACAGCCAGTGAGCATCTAAACCAGATGACCTCCTGGACCAATGTTCCCTTTTACATGCACTGTTACTTGACTTCTAGAATTAGAAGGGCATTATGGCCTACTTTCACTGTAGCCCCTGTTTACATAACACTGTAAAAGAAAAAAGTAAATTGCCAACACCACTGTGTCATCTCTATCAATCAATCTCAACAACAGTGGTGTTCTGAAATGAGGAGGCAAAGTCCTTACGGTTCTTTTTTTTAAAATCTAATGTAAATTCATGTCTCAGTCACATTTTCTAGGTGAAATAAACATTATTTACACTATCAGAAAAAAAAAACTATTTTATATTTTTACATTAACAATGTAATCAATATTCTATTTATTAAAGCCAAGCATGAATCTCATCAAGTTAGTGTTTTTAAGCATTTTACATTTATTCCAAAATAATAACTCAAGGCAGTAACAATTTAAACAATATATTTTATTTGTGAATTTATGTTCAGCTATTCTTTTTAATAGTTAACTTTTAACTATTTTTGAATTTTTCGGATCATCAGTCGTCAAAGCTAGGTTAATATTGGTCACAGACACTGAGATTTACCTTCAATTTCACCAAGCTGATTACTCACTAAAAACTCCCACAGATCATGTTTTCAGGCAATTTCAGGCCTTATTTTGACAACAAGGTGGTTATATCTAACTGTTTTTTGCTTACTTTTTTAATTAAGTCTTTTCCCATTAAAGCCATTATATTGTTCATTCAGACTGATTCATTCAGACTGACTCAGAGGAAACGCCCCAGCTCTACAATTACTATAAATCTTTACAATCTCTACAACTTTTGGGGCTTTTTTTGGGTCATTTTTTTATTGATATACTACTGTTCTAAAACTTGGGGTCATTAATTCTTAAAAAATAAATTAATACTTTTATTTAGCAAAGATGCATTAAATTAATCAAAAGAGACACACAATAAAGATATTTGTGGCAAAAATAAAAACTGATAAAAATAAGAAATGTTTCTTGAACGCCAAATCAGCATATAACCATTATTATGATTTCTGAAGGATCATGTGACTGGATTAATGGCTGCTGAAAAATCAGCTTTGTCATCACAGGAATAAATCCCATTTTAAAATACATTAAAATAGAAAGCAGCTATTTTAAATGGTAATACTATTTCAGAATATTACTGCTTTTACTGTATTTTTGTTCAAATAAATGCAGCCTCAGTAAGTGTGTGCTAAATGCAACAAAATTTTCACACTTACATGAACACTTATCTCTGTTTGGATATACTTTAATTAGAGGTAGGGATGTAACGGTATGAAAATTTCTTATCACGATTATAGTGACCAAAATTATCACGGTTATCAGTATTATCATGGTATTGTTAAAATGTGCTGGAGATGTTCAAAAAGTACAGAAACATAAATCACTTCACCAAGTTTTATATTTAAAAATCAACATTCAGAGGTACATTCATATAACTAATTCATTAATATATTAATTTGTATAATTCCATTAGCACTCTTTTAAAACCTCCCAGCTTTTCCGCCCTGTTTTCACTCAAAACGAAACTACTCTGCATGCTGTGCACACGTGAGACCATTACTTAAAACTGTGCTTTATGCTGGACAGTATTTATTTATCGCGAGTTGTTAAAATCGCGGTTATCTAATACTGTTTTAATGATAATTAAAAGATGAAACGTTAATACTAACCGTGGGGAATTTTATCATGATTTATCGTCAAACCGGTAATCGTTACACTAGGGCTGTCGCAATAATCAATATAT